CCTTTTGCACTTCCATGTCTTATGTTGTGTAAGCTTCCTGTTCTGTTGCAGTGATTTAAAAACACACCACAACAAAAGTAACTTAAAAGAGAAAGGGTTTATTTGGCTCACAATTTCATCTTCCAGTCCTTCATTACTGGGAAGTTATGGTGGCAGGTATTTGAAGCAGCTAGTCATATGACAGTCAAGAGTAGAGGGCAATGTATGTACACCATCAGCTAGGTTTTCCAGTCTTACAATATCTAGAATCTGTCTTCCAGCCAATCGAGATAGTCATCCACAAACATGTCCACAGGCCTAACTAAATCTAAACAATCTCTCTTTGAGACACCCTTCCCAGGTGATTCTAGATTGTGTCAAATTGACAATAACATTAACCATCACACATGTATTCAATATACATTTAAGATCTGAAATATTAGCTTTGCATGTTTGAAATGGATAGCAAAAATTATAGAACATAAAAATTTGCTTCCATTATACTGTAAGACACTTATGTCAAAGCATTCTGAACACCCATGACTAGTTGGTCCTAGATGTACAGGAGAACATAGATTAAAACAAACCCTCCAAGAGGCAATATTATGTTATGTGTACATTTTTTAAAGATTTATTTTCTTTTATGTGCCTGACTATTCTGCCTGAATGCATGTCTTTGTACTACATGTATGCCTGATGTCCATACAAGCCAGAAGATAACACTAGCTCTCCTGCAACTGGAGTTGCAGATGGTTATGAGGCACTTGTGGGTACTGGTGACTGAACCTGGGTCCTCTGCAAAAGCAAAAGCATTCCCAACCATTGAGCCATTTTTCCATGGCCCATGTGTGATTTTTTTTAAAGTGTAAAGAGAAAAACATGGAAACAAGCATATCAAGAGATTAAGAATGGGTGACTCTTGTTGATAGGAACATGGGTGATAACTATATTTATATATGTTTTTCTGTAAGTTTTGTTATTGTCCAAAAATTGACAAAAATCCAATGAAATAGCTACAATAAATATTTCTAGTCTTTGGTGGCCAGGTAATGCAGGTGCATTTGATCTGTGAGACTACAGAAGAACAAAGCCAATTCCTGGGTCTGGAGACAGCACTTACCACTCCCTTATTCCTTATCTCCAAAGCTGAGCATCACTGCAGTAATGCAAATGATGCTGTTCTTGCTATTCACTGCAAGCCAGAGAAGTCCTGAGTACATGCTAATAGCCCCACAACCCAAAGTTATGAAGCCCTAACCCTTCGAGTCTCTGGGCATGCAGAGACAACCATCAAAAGCTTTCTTTTCCCCTCCGTGGCACTCTCCTCTACAGATACAATGTACCCTCTCAGCCACTCTACTGCAGGTTCCTAGGAGCCTCGCCTGTCTTTAAGTCAAATTTTGTCTCTGTGGCCACCCTAGCACCTTATACACGATACTCAGTTAATAGATAATTATGAGACTCTTTAAAGCAGTTAAGTATGAAACAGTGCAGGACTTGGGAGGAGAGGGACATGGATACCAATAATTTAGATAAAATCAGCCTTTCTGGCAAGCACAAGCCAGTCTTCAGCGTGTCTGCTTCTAACTGTGCATGGCTGCAGTCGTCTCAGAGGTAAGACTGCCCTCTAGTGGAATAGGATGGGCATAAGCAGTGATGAAAAATAAAAGCTAGTTAAAGCAGATCTTTGAAATTAAAGTATGCAAGCCATCATCATAAGTGGACCAAACAAATAAAAGACACAACAGCAATATAAACATAAGCTTACCTGTGACACAACAGGTTTCTTCATTTTAAACTAAAGCACCATACCCCATCTAATTGCAAAAGTCTTAACAATGAACTCTGATGGTCTGGATTCATGGTAACTCCTTCAGGTTGCGAGGGTTAGTGTTACGGCTGTGAAATTACCCTGACATTTTCAGCAGTATTTTTTCCTTAGTGCAAATTTCATAAGTATTTTTCAATTATGACAAAAATATACTGGGAGAAAGTTCTTTTCTTAAAGAGCCACAAAGTGGCATTTTTCATTAAAAGAAATTAATTTTGAATATTTACTAGATGGCCAAAGGCACAGTGGCTGGTGTCCTTAGGATAATGCTCTTAATGACAGGAAAAATGAAAACTGGTCAAAATTGAGTAGTCCATAACCCCTCTTCAATTAGAAGTCAAATAATGATTGTCAAATTGAGTGCAGGTAAATTCCTCCACTTCCTTGAAAACCAGAAGGGAGTAAGGTTCCCATGCTACACTTCACACACAGCTGACTTAAAAGCATTTGTGGGTTGCAAAAGTCAGATCTGGTCTATGTGAAAGGATGTCTGTGCTATTTACTAGCAGACAAGACCCTGTGAACCAGATAGATGTGATGATGCTTATGAAGCCTGTCCTGAGTATGTTTTCAAAACACAAAGGACTTCTTGTTGTTACTATTGTTGAAACAGGAGAGATGACAGCAGGCCAAGAAGAGAGTGGCAGACTTCTGAGGCAACACCTCACCTACTTTTATACCACAGTGAGATAAGAGAGCTCACAATGAAAGGTAGGGAACTTGCAACCATGCTGTTGCAGGCTTCTGAATGATTCTCATCACTGCTCCTCTCGGCATGGCCAAATCTAACCGTGTTAATCAATTTCATATTTCTCCTTTAACTCCTGAGCATAAACTTTTAATTCTTCCTAATTACATCCTGTAAAAAGTTTGAACACCTTAATACAGCAGTCAAGACCCCCGAAACATAGACTGCCTAGAATTTTTCAAATAAATGTAACAGAATTAATTCATAGCCTGTGCTTCAGCCAAATTAAACTATATACTCCATATCAATACATTTCTTTCAACTCTCTGGAAACAAAAATGTAATCACTCACAAAATTTGTTAAGATTTAAAACTAGCAGGACAGTGGTGGCACACGTCTTTAATCCCAGCGCTAGGGAGGCAGAGGCAGGCAGATCTCGGAGTTGGAGGCCAGACTTGTCTACAGAGTGAGTTCCAGGACAACCAGGACTCTACATAGAGAAAACTGTCTTGAGAAAACAAAGCAAAAATAAATACATAATAAAAGATTTTGTCTAGAAGGGAAGAATCTTAAGATGTGCTACCACACAAGACATTCTTTGTCTTTGAGAGTACAGATCTGTGGAGAAAAGCTCAGGCATCTATATATCTCTGCACCTGATATGGCTTATATGAATGTTTGCTTTTACATTGAGTAGTCTACTCTTTTTTAATGTTTCTGGGGCTTTGATATTTCATGGTCTCTACTCAAGATATTTTTTTCATATTGTTTTGGAAAATTCACCCAATCTATCCCCAGAATGCTACAACTTTTCCAAAACTTGTCACTTAAACTGATTTGTCTAGAAAAAAATGTGAGGGTCAGAAAAAAGGGAGTAGGGGTGCAACATGCCATCTTCTAAGCATGATGCAGCTGTGACAATCTGAACTGACAACAGCTCTGTCTACTAGCACCAAGGTCATACAACTTGGGCCTTCTTAACTGCAAGTGGCTCATAGGACCCTACCCCTTACCCCTGATCTATTGGCAAATGACATATTCTGAGAAATGGAGAGCCATAGTACCCAGTTGTGAGCCCAATGGTAAGCCCACCAGGCTCTAGTGGTTAGTTCCAAACTCCGGTTACACAGAGTGCTTTAAACTCTGTGGGACATTAAACAACAACAATAACAACAAACAGTAAATATGGGAAAGAGATTTTAAGGAAAGGGGGAGGCTGACAAAGGAGTGGGAACTGAGAAATTGTAGGGAGAATAGCCAGAAAGCATTGTATACATGTATGAAATTGTCAAAGAGAAAGATTAGTTAAAAAACAAGACATCTTAGAAGAGAAGTTAGAATTGTTTTGTGAAGGATTTTAAGATCCTATAAGAAACCCTGAAAGGTCTGAAAGCCGAGCGTGACATTTTGCCTTGGCTAACATGTTCCCCTCTCCCTGCTTCATTGTTTACACCTAAAAATGAGGGTGAATTGTGGGCATATTCTCTCTCAAGTCTCTCAGCCTGTATATTATAAGAACATGTGATATCTATAAAAAAGACTGCTTTCTTCAGAAAAAGGAAGTATATATAACCTAGATAAGGCAATTTAACTTTAAAATCTCTTTATTCTAGTAAACATTTTAAATATCACAAACAAAATATGAAATACAATTATATTATTTTACAATACAGACATGAAAAATTACTTTACATAACAGAAATACATGCATATTGCCAAACTTACATTTGGAGATTACAATGCTTAGGAAGGTATAAATATCCAACATCCAAACATAATTGCCTTTTGGAAAGAACTAAAGGAACTGGCCTTCACAATTATCTTTAGTTTCTATGAACAAAGAAGACTTTCTGAGGTACTAATGTTCAGGAGTTCTGGAGTTTGAGAAGATAATGTTATAATTTCTATTTGGTTCTGAGCTGAAATGTTTTTCTTCGGCTAGAATAGAAGTGAAGCAGTGGGAGGAGAGAAACATAAGGCTCCCTTGTTGGGAGTACATTTTGTCCCTACAAAGCTATTTAGTTTGCAATCACAATTTGGTGGGTTCCTTTTGATAGAATCCATTTATTGCAACAGTCTCTATAAAAGGTTTAACCATTTGAAGCAAGAGTCAATAGAGGATCTCAGTATTATGTCTAACTACAAATAACAGTTCTGTGAGTCATCAGACTCTCAGACCAACGGGAAGGTGAGTGTACATCCAGGTTACTGCACTGCTTGCAGGCTAAAAAGAACATTCAAAGTGTACCAGTACAAACCCCAATATGATGGTATTAAAAGGTAGAGTCACTGGGGGAAATTATAAGGATGGTGCTCTTGTGAATGGGATTTAATAACTTCATTGGAATAGGACAGAGAACTAGTTAACTCTTTCTGCCATGGGAGGAGAACACAGAAAAATGATGGCAATATGAATTCCCAAATGAGCCCTCAACAGAACATGACTATTGCGATATCTTGATTACTTCCATTATTTGTAAATGTATGTTTTGAATACATACCTTAGGGTTCATGTGTCTGAAACTTTGCTCCGTGAAACAATGTTGAGAGCTGTGACCTGGTAGAAAAAGCATAGGTTATAAAGTCTCCAATAAGGGATTCTTATTATAAAATTTTCTCCTTCTTGCAAGCCCTGCATTTGCTCTGACCTTTTTCATCTTTTCCCATTTTATAACACAGCAAGCCACATGCCAGCATCATGACCATGAACTTCCAAGCCTACAGAGTCCTTTATAAGTCACTCAATCTGGAATTCTGGTATGGCAGAGACAATGTATTATGGCAATTTACCCAGTTACTTTATATATTTTTAGTTTATGTGTAAGTGTGTGTCTGTGTGGAGTGTGTGTCATGTGTGTGTGCAGGTTCCTACAGGGGCTAGAAAAGGGCATCAGACTCCCAGGAGCTGAATTGACAGAGAATTCTGAACTTCATGGTGTGGGTGCTTGGAAACCCAACTCCAGTGCTCTGGAAGAGCAGCCAGCACTCTTAACTACCAAGTCATCTCCCCAGTCACTTGCTTCTTTATCATAGCATCTCCAACTGAGTAAGGCACGACACAAAATGTGAAGACTTATCTGATAACTGGAAAAGACCTCTGGAAAGGTCTGTTGCAGTCTTTTGCTATTGCCAAACATCTGACATGAATCAACTTAAGAAAATGACTTATTTTGGCTCACAGTTCAGTGGATATGATCAGCAATCAAAGAAAGAGGAATGGTGGCACTCAACTGGCTTTCTCCTTTCCCCCCTTTTATTCAGTTAGGAATCATAGACCATGAAATGGTGACACTCTCTGCAGAGTAAGTCACCCATCTCCATGTTTCCATTCCGGAAACACTCTCAAAATTATACCCCAAAGTGTGCCTCACTGATGACATAAGTGTTTTACAATCTGATCATATTGCAACTACAATTAATCATAATAAGACATAGTATTAAGAAGGTATCACTTTATAACATATTCTGGAAATAAGTAATGTAAATAATCTGTACACATTTTACTTTATGTACAAAACTAAATAATTTAAGATCCTACGACTAGCCAGACATGTATAAACTGCCTGTGATCCTAACACTTAAGAGGCTGAAGCAGTAGGATTATAAATTTAAGGCTATCCTAGACTCCCAGCACTTGGAAGGCAGAGGCAGGCAATTCTCTGTAAGTTTGAGGACAGCCTGACTTACAGAGTGAGTTCCAAGACAGCCAGGACTATTACAAAAGAAACCCTGTTCCAGAAAAAAAAATGGTTAGTATAAATATCTTTTAACTAATGTGACAGTGCTAACCAGTTCTTCCTGCTTCGTAAATATTTCTTATTCTTCATCGTGTTGAGCAACTTCTTAAGATACTTTGGTTCTTACCCACAATCATAGGTCACTTTGATCTTTGAATGGAAGCATCTGTTTGTTTTTACAGTACCAAGTAGTGAATATAGATTGTCAAGCATGCTAAGCTAACACTGTACAACTGAGCTGCCTCTCCAGACCTTGATCTTTCAAAGGAAGAGTTATCTTTAAAAGACTCCAAAGAAAGCCTGAAGGAAGATGAACTGATACTAGGTTTCCCTTAGGAACTTACATGAATTTAGATAGAGGAAGTTTTATATTAAACCGAGCCACTATTAAAAGCTGAAAAGACATACAAATAGAGGGCTGCCTGGTTTACAGACCAGAAGATAAACAGAACCAGTCATACCCTAGAGCTCTCTTAAGTCCTTTTCTCCTCAAACGCAGGAGCTCAGAAGATCTGCCACCAATGAAGTGGCAGACAAGCACAAAGGAACGTTCTACTGGTATAGTGAAATGGCTCAGTAGCTAAAGACTTGCTGGTAAGATGGACATGTGTGTGATTCCCAAAATACATGGTAAAAGAAGAGAACAAATTTCTACAAGTTGTCCTCTGAGCTCTACAGGCATGCCTTGGTATACACACACACACACACACACACACACACACACACACACACTAACCAAATACATGTATTTTTTAAGAAAAAAATAAAGCTCCCCGCAGAGCAGTGCTGGTGCATGCCTTTAATCCCAGCACTTGGGAAGGCAGAGGCAGGCGGATCTCTGTGAGTTCAAGACCAGCCTGGACTACAAGAGCTAGTTCCAGGACATCCTTCAAAGCCACAGAGAAACCCTATCTCAAAAAAACATAAATAAATAAATGAATACATAAATAAAACTCCCAATGCTGGGAGAGATGACTGCAAAATTGGGGGTCATTTCGAGGGTAAGGTAGAAACCTTAAACAATGGAAAGTCCCTAGCAAACACTCCTAGTAATGGGGGATATGGAGCCTGAACCTGCCATCATCTGTAACCAGGCAAGGCTTCCAGTGGAGGGACTGGGACATCAACCCAGCCACAAAACCTTCAGCCTACAATCTGTCCTGTCTGTAAGAGATGCTGGGGGTACAAGTTGCACGGAACTTGCAGGAGTGGCTAACCAATGACTGGTACAACTTGGTTCCCATGCCACAAGAGGGAGCCCATGCCTGACACTGTCTGGATAGCCAGAAACCATAGTCTAGATAGCCCAGAGACCAAGGATAGGAACAAATACGACTACCAAAACAAAAATGTCAATGATATGATTGCTAATGATATTCTACTACACTTATAGATCGGTCTCTAGCCCAGTTGTCATACAAGATGCTTCATCCAGCAACTGATAGGAGCAGATGCAGAGAACCACAGTCAAACATTAGGAGAAGCTCAGGGAACACCACAGAAGAGGAGGAGGAAGGCCTGTAGGAGCCAGAGGGGTCAAGAACACAAGCAGAACACAGCCCATATAATCAACTAACCAGGTCCCATAGGGGTTCACAGAGACTAAACAACAATCACAGAGCCTGTGTAGGTCTGTCCTAGGTCCTCTGCATCTATGTTATGGGTGAGTAGCTTGGTGTTCTACTAATAGAGGGAGCAGGAACTCTGACTCTTTTGCTTGCTTTTGGGATCATTTTCCTCCTATTGGGTTGCCTCATCCAGCCTTGGTATGAGAGTATGTGCCTAGCTTCATTATAACTTGTTACACTGTGTTTGGTTGATATCTCTGGGAGGCCTGCTCTTTCCTGAAGGGCAACAGGGGGAAGTGGATCTGGGGAAAAGAGGAGAAATGGGGGGCCTGAAAGGAGAAGAGGGAGGGGAGGGGAAACTGTGGTCTGAATGTAATACAAGAATAAATAAACAAACGAACAGACAGACAAACAGAGAAATCTCTCCTAACTCTGAGAGGACTCTTTATGCTGAGGTAATTAAGGAATATGTATGGGATATTTAAAGGATCTTTGCATTAAATGATATGTGAGATTGGACTTTGATGGGAGATGTTATTCTGTATATGTTTCTGTTGTTGGTTGATGAATGAAACACTACTTGGTCAGGCAGGAAGATAGGAGAGGAGAGGAGAAGAGTTCTGGTAAACGTAGGCAGAGTAAGCCCAACAGCCAGAGTCATGATGCTGCCGGAGGAATAACACCATGCCAAGCAGTATCAGGTAAGCCGCAATCTTGTGGCAATACATAGATTGATAGAAATGGGTTAATAATTAAAACAGAGATAGCCAATAAGAAGCCCTAGTTATTGGCCAATAGTACTATAATAATTAATATAAGTCTCTGAGTGTTCATTTGGGGATGATGCTGCTGTGGGACCCGGATGGCAGAAAACAGTGCTCCTTAAAGGATTGCTTGCATACTGGGACCTAGCAGCATTGGTAACAATGAAATTGTGGCCACAATGGTACCTGGCCAGTATGCTAAACTTTGACATTCACCAGGGACTTTTACAGTTGAACCTCCCATGCACCAGGTAAAGCCAATGTTGCTAAGATGATGTTATGTCCCGGGGAATTTATATATGAAGATTTGAGTGGCCCATGTTATGTAATTGGTGAATTTCAAATACTTCTTTACATGGCAATACAAAGCCTGAGGCAAAAGACAAGTTTTACTTTTTCTATATCTCTATCACCCTTTCTAGTGAGCCTCTAGTATGCAAACCTTGCAGAAAAACACAATGTAACTCCTTGAAAACCCGTGGAAGAGAAGGTATTTTGGCATTGTGACAGAAAGCATGATAATCAATATATTTAAGTGTTCTCTCGAGAGACATCCTCTTCTATGTTCATTCCACACACACCAAAAAAAATGGTTCTTAATGTACCAAGAAGTTTGACTCCTCAAAGTAAATCTATGATTATTTATGTGTTAATAGAACAATCAACCTCAAAAGAGGTAATTATTCTGCTTTCATCTGGAATTTTACACTTCAACATTATCCCGGGGTAGTAGTGCTTCATTCATCCAGATTGTGTACATGCATAAATTAGGACTAATTTTTTTAAATTACCTATAATCTGATTTTAAAACCTAATTAATTTAGTGTTATATTATTCCTTACCTATCATAACCTGAGACAGAGTTCAGAGAAGTAATCTATTATATACCATAGCCTCCCTCATTCTTGGTCATGTTTGTTTCCTATAAGAGTAATTCTTTCTGAAGGGTTGTAATGAGTTCACATGAAAGAGAATATCTATTTTTAATTGGATTGTTTCATGTTAGTGTAGAAATTAATGGGTTTTATCATGTCATCTTCCTATATTTTGTCATTATACTTTGTTCTCACGTGTTCTCACTTTTTGTGATTGTACTTTATCTTCATATGTTTCCCTCCCCCACTGCCCTCCTCCTGCCCCTCCTGCCTTTCACCTAGTTCCCTTTCTTCTCTCAGTATCCTACTTTCATTTTTGTTATTAATTGAAATTTTCTTACATGTATAGAAAGTATCTTTACCATAACCACCCTGTGGTGGTTTGAATGAAAATGCCCCCGTAGACTCACGGGGTAGCACCATTGGGAGGTGTGGCCTTGCTGGAGAAGGTGTGCCTTTTGTTATAGGAAGTGTGTTACTGGAGATTGGCTTTGGGGTTTCAGAAGACCAACGCAGGACCAGTGTCACTCTCTATTCCTGCTGCCAGGCAATCCAGATATAAAACTCTCAACTACCTCTCCAGCACCACACCTACCTGTGTGTCACCATGCTC